GGGGAAGCCGCCTCTATCCGTGCGGCTCTGGACGTGGGCCTTGCTGCGGTGGTAGAGGGGTGTAGGCAGACCCCAGCCTTGCAGGCGAGGCGATCTCCCCGGCTGCACCTGTGACTGTCAGGGAGCTGCGAGTCGAGCTGGGAAACGTTACATACCCCATTTACACACGGTGTTCTCTCCGAGTTCGTGCTTTGGTGAAGAGCGTGCGTCGTGAAATGCGAACAAGGTAGATTAGCACAGTCTTTGCCTAAAAGTCACAAGCAGATTTCACAGTTTTGTCTAGGGAATAACGTGAAAACTGCTTCCCCCTCCGAAAAAGGTGTTGATATGTGACTTACAGGCACGGAATAAAATTCCCAAACTCCAAGTGAGAATTATAATGCCTCGTTCCTCTCTTAAAATAATGTTAAGTGTTTCTATTCATCTGTTCCATAGTACCATGTTAAAAAAGAACATAAAGAATAGTGATGTATTTAGCGAAATGGTAGTATTATCAATGAGAAAACAAACTCAGAATTTAAATCCTCATTCTTTCTGCAGTTGTGTTTAATAATTTTTGCACTGAAGTACACAAATAAGTAGTGACATCAATAGAAACCCAGAAGCAACAGAACGTGAGGAAGTCAAATAAACTAGTACTGATTTTCACATTGTGTATTGCTTCATGCTATATTTGTTGGTTTTTTTCCCAGATAATTTTGCTTAAAAATTGTAATTCATCTGCTGAAATGTGAAGAGAAATGTGGAGTTTCTCTTTACAATGATTACCCTAAAGTGACGGAAGGAGTTTCCTATGTCCCTCCTTCCCCAATTTCAGTCATTTCAATACAAGCTGTTACCAAAAGAATTGCTCCAGCATACCAGCCCAGTTTGCTTTGCAGGTAGATGAATCTTTATGCTGGCACAAGGGGAAGAGGCATGAATGGGACACAGTGCCCAGAGGATGTTAAAAAGCTGGTACTATAAATTCATAATTTAAAAGAGGAAGAAGAGAGCTTTGCTTGTGTTAAAAACAAACAAACAAACAACACCTCCCCCCCCCCCCCCACCCCCTT